CACAATTCAAAATTTAGAATCATGCTGCGTGATATCAAGCTGGGCCTAGGTTGAAATTACACTTGGAACTAGTTTGTGGTAGGGGGCCGTTCAAGTATTACGTAAGCACTATAGGGGGGCGGGAGGGTTGTTGATTTGCTTATTTTGGGTTGACATGGGGGGCAGGGGAGTCTGGATGATGATTACGTCATAGGTAGTATTTTTATTTTTTTTACATTAATTGCAAAATATTTACGTAAGCATGGGGGTAGGGGGTAAGAGCTTTGCTTACTTTTGCTGACAAGGGGGATGTATATAATTGTAATAAATCTGCTTACGTAATACTTGAACGATCCCTAGTCCACATCCTTGACCGGTTATGTCACGGCAAACTCATAAATTTTGTTTACATATTTCTGCTCATCATGCTTTAACCACTTCTTTTCTTTGTTTTTTAATTCCTCATCCATAACATCAGATATAATCATTATCATCCTCAGAGATTATTTCTTATTCATGATCATTACGCTTTATGTCACTTGTAAATGTCTATAAAAGTATCAAGATAGATTTTATTTTCTAAATTTATAAGTAAATTCTGCCATAAAACAAGAAAATAACTTCCTTATTCTCTAGTATAATGTATTTAATCTATTTTTATTCCTTTTTCACAAAAATATACTGAACAAAATATTGATAGGTAGATTTCAATGATTTTATCTTTAAAGTAGTTATTAGTTGTACGTAGTTACTTGATAGACATTTTTTCACTTATTAAAAAGTTTGCAACTTCTAGTAAGTGTAATTACATAAATTTATAGGTATTGAGCATACAAAGTTTATAGTTCAATAAATTTTTCTTCGACTAAAAGCAAAATTACAATTATTTTTATATGATAGCAATACAGTATTGCAATTTCTGATTAAATGTATTGTATGAAATAAATATTTTTATACATAAATTTTATACATAAATAATAACATGATACAAATAATTTCTGACAAAATGGGTTTGTTCTCTGTATAACCATACTTGTTCATGTAAAATCATAAACGAGAAATAAACTCCAGTTTATTTGTTTGATAAAATTACATATTCGATTTTTTGCGCATCGTTCGGATATGGTACAAAAATTTAACTAACTTTAATATATGGTTTAATATATATATATATATATATATATATATATATATATATATATATGTAAAGCAACTAGAAAATGTATGAACTGAATGGCTTTCATTTAATTGAATATGGAAATTCAAAATTGATTAATGAGAAATATGAGTGCAAATTAATATTAATATGTTTTAAAGCAAATATTGTAATAATCAAAATCGCAACTTTCTAATATCAATAAGTTTATTTTAAAGGATCATTTTAAACCACAGACCACTATTTTCATTATAATCATTTTTAATTTGAGTTTGACAACTGATAATTTTAATGGTTTGGTAAAAATATATTTATTCTTCATTAATTAGGATTCATTATATGAATATGAACATATATTTTGGCCATTATCATAAATATATTAAATCACCTGATGAATTTCGTATGCCTTGACTAATTAGTAACTAATTATACTTCATATTGACTATTTGATTTTACATTGATATATAATTAGGTAGGTTGTTAATTAGTTAATAAAATAAATTAGATACTTGAAAATTAGGAGCAGTAAAATGTTATATTCTTCTTTATTTATCATTATATAAATTTAATTAATTTAATTAGTACACCGTGCCACGCATTGCTGTGGCAAATTTCTCATTATTTACAAACGAAAATGAAATCATAAATGCTGGTATAAAAATCTACTGTTTTATAATATAAACTGAAAGAAATCTACCAGTATTGATGAAAATGATGTATAATTTATATTTATTAGGCATGATCTTTTTGTTAGTGAAATTTTCTGAAAATTTAACTTTTTCAGATGAGTTAACGTTATTTGAATTATTATTTCATAAAGGTGATTGGCGTAGTTAGACTATATTAGTTATAAGATTCGTTCGTATCTTATTCCATCTATTTCTGTTTCTCATATATACTGGCATAAAATCAACTACGTCCAGAAAAAAAAATTTTACCAGAATTTTTGAAAAACTACTATTTTTGATGTCACACGCATATGGCTGACAAAGCCCTATATTGAAACTATTTTTCTCTTTCTACGAAATGGCTCATGCAGAACTTTCTAGCGTCAAACGCATATGACTGACATGGCGATCAACATATCAAAGATTGAGATTTCTTCTTCTGAAGTTAGCAAAACTACTGCTACATTATAATAGTACATCTCATTTCCATGTAGCATAAAGGCAGTATATAACGCTTTTATCTCGATACTTAATGCGTTCCTGTTGTACAAGCAACGTGATGTGTTTCTATCGTTTTTCTTTTGTCACGTATTTTTGATCGTTTTTGCGACCGTTGTGTATAGGAAACTCTTAACAGGATGTGACATTTCTCTTGCTCCAGCGCGCGCTCTATTCTCTATATCCGTCAACGTTGCATTAAGGAACGCGAGTAAGACACTACAAGCGTCTCATGCCGCCTCATACCAAGCCGGCGGGCGAAGGAGATTCCGTGCACTTTGATAGATTTGTCATTATTTCCGAAGCGAAGCCTGGAGAGATTACTCTAATGGCACTGTTTGACTTTGCACTGATGCAGTAGTAGTTTATTGAAATTGTTAAGGCGGAAATATATTTTTATACACAAACTAATGCCAGCATGACCCTTATTTTCAGGTGTTAAATGGAAGTATACAGATATTGGGAATTAGAGAAAAATGGGTAAAATTGAAAAAAAAGTAGATAATTTTTATTGATTGTTTTTTCATATACAGACTAATATTGCCGCTTACACATTAATATTACCGCTTAATTTGATTTGAATTGGATAAATTTGACGATGTAGATAATATTGTCGATAAAATTTGACTTCATACTATTCAATAATTTATTGAATTTGGATGTGAACTCTCTGCTAGGTTAGGATAATATTTTTGGATATCATAGAACATGTGAAAAATTCATTATATATACAAAAATATCAAGTGAGTAACTCATGTTACCAAATAAGCAACGTGTGCTTCAATGAATTGGTAAAAAGCGAGATAGGTTAATCTAATTACAATTCAGTCAATGAATGAAGTATCTGTAATATTATTATGTATCTGTAATGTTTATTCTAATACTGATATACTAGTTTATTGAAATGCATAATAAAGCGAATTTTTATGTATCGGACTTAAGTCCGATTCCCAAAAGAGGCTGCAAAAATTTTGGCATCATATTTGCGATGCATTAGAAATGGTGCGAGATTAGTAGAAAGTATAAAAATTATTGCCTTATATCACTTACAAGAAAATAAATTATTAAATAATTAAAAAATAAGCTACGAAACTGGTCTAATAAAATTATAAAATATATTGTAATACCCTTCATACAGGATAGCAATAATAAAACCTAATATCGTTTATTGAACTATTTTGTAGTATAAAATAATCCCTTATATGATAATGCATCCTGTCCATGACAAGTCTCTCCAATATAAATATGTCTTTCTAAGAAGTTCAGATGAACTTGATCTATTTAAATGATAGGTTTAAATGATCCGACGGGTAAGTCGCTTGCAACCAAAAATAAACCAATCAGAAAAATTATATAAAATAATGAAAAATCAGCAAGCACCATTAGTTTTAACTAAACATTCAAACATATATCATCTATCAATCTTTAACATCGTATCATCTTATCTTTAATCGGTCTCATAGAGCCACTAATTATATCTGGTCCTTCGTCAAAAAGTGTACTATTTTAGCAGAGTTTGGCAGCATATATATATATATATATATGTATATATATATATATATATATATATATATATTATAAAATTACCCAAGAGAAAATTCTTTCCTCGATACCTTCTCTATAAACCTGACACTTCAAATTACTGAACTCTTTGAAACGTCTTTAATATAAATACGGTATAATATAACTAAGAGCGTAAAAGGGAGATCAGAAAAGATTAGAAATGCTTCAGATTCCTCCAAGAACTTCTTAAGACACTTGAATATTATTTCGAAATGTTAAATGGAATTGTGATTTATAGTTATATAAAACTATACATGTGTAAACTATACTTATTAAATTGAATTTAAAAAATATCGTCTATGAATCATTAAGTAATCTAGATCAGTTTTATTTATTATTATTATATTATTAGTATTTTAGTAATAAATAAAGATAAGTGCTAAGAAAATGATATGATCATACCGACAAATATATGAAATGAGTTAATAATTATTAATGTCACAAGTCACAATGCAAATAAACTTCTAATATACAAGACAATTATTAAACCAATATGGTCCTACGGCCTACAACTATGGGGTGCGGCCAGTAAATCGAACATAACTATTCTACAAAGGTTCCAGAATAAAATTTTGAAAGAAATCGTGAACGCTCTAAAGGACGTTCCCATTTGGTTGATACATCAAGATCTCAGAATTCGAAATGTAGAAGAAGAAATTAGTCTTTACTGCTCCAGATACAAAATTCGTCTAAGTCGTCATCCAAACGAAATTAGCGTGTGATCTGCTCAAGCCTTCACCACCAAAGCGTCTCAAAAAAAATCTTCAATGATTTACTACAAAATATCACATAACATCTAAGAAGGTGCTATCGCAGGATAGCGATCCTTCTCACGCAGTCAAATAATATATACCTGTAATACTACATAGCTGAATGTACTCTCATAGGCCTATGATATTTCAAGATGTTCGGTTTGACTATCAACTCTATCAGCATGGGAAGTTTCATCAAAATCCCAGAGGAGTAAACCTGAGTTTTTCCTTGTTAGTACCAATTTTCGATTTTTTCAATTAAATTTGAATTAGTAGTTAATGCAACAAATTTTACATATGTTCTTACAATTTAAACTGAATTTTAATTTCTACGTGCTACTCAATTATTTTCAATTACAGACAGTTTTTTTTTAATTGTTTCAGGTTGGCGTTCCCTTGCCATGTCGGTGGCGTCAGTGGCCGCAGCGATGCTCTGCAAAGAGCAAGGGATTACAATTACCGGAGTCTGTGCGGTGTACGAAGTATTCGTAGTTCAGAAGGTAGAAAGTAGAAACGTTATCTATTTCATTTTATTTGTCTCTGTATCAACGTTCATATATGTTCAAGCTGCCACGTCGAAATTTTCTTTGATGCTTTTTATTATTTTACTTTGATTTATTTTAAAGGTGATAGCAGCAAAAAGAATATTGATCTTTGTAGGTGCATATATGAAACATCGTTCTTCTAAACTGAAAAGGTTTTCAGTATAATGAAAAAAGATAAAATCATCAACACTTAGCACTGTTGTTTAGTTTACGAAACCTAAATACAAATTTTTAGTATACGTTATATAAATGTTTTATAAGAGTTATTGTTAATTTTAAGTTAGATTCAAAAGTTGTTTTTTATATAAACTTTATCAGAGCATACACGTGAATGGGGTGAAAAGGAGCAACTGAACCTTTACCCTGGCAAAAATGTAGACAATAAAAAATAGTAAATAAAAAAGTAAATTAAGTTAAAAAAACAATTTCACAAGGGTTAAAATAAATAAGAGCAATTCCAATGTAGCTGATAAATATTTCTGACGAAATACCAAATCAAGGTTTTATACAGTCTTTCCTCTGTAAAATATGTAACCAAAAAAATATATTTTGCATTGATTGAATAATGTAGCTATTATTTAGTAAAATTCTTTTAAAATTAAAAATAAGACTCTGGACCTTTTTGCCCCCAGACCGTCCCATTTTATCCTGCCTATGGAATAAAAGGACCAGGTGACAAATTTTTTCTACAATGATGAATTAGATTGCAGTTTCACTGAATATAGTCAGATAGTTGTTTGCTTGATATGCGTTTGTTGTGATAAAATTGGTTTGGTTTAAAGTTCAAATTGGACTTTTGTGCCCCGCGCAACTTTATTTTGTAATTCTATAAATGTATAACGTTTCTGTGAAAACTAATGGTTTCATAATGGTAAGGTATATACTTAAATAATATAAAATTTCTTCAGATTATGTAAATAATAAAGAAAAGTATGATGGTGAAAATAATCAATTACGAAGTAAATTAGCTATAAAATATATTATATGCAATGACGGTTTGCTGAATTATCTAAAGTAATTCTAAGAGCATTATCTATAAATTTGAAGTCTATAGACGCCCTAAATTTATTAAATTTAATAATAAGAAATTCATGTAATATGTATCATTTATAACACCAGTTTTCTACTTTGACCATTAGAATAACTATCTTATAATTCTTAAGGTCTAACCATTCAATCAATTTATTCTTGGCTTTTATAGAAAAAAACGTTTATTTTCTCAAATTTCCATTTTATATTATATAAAAAGTTGAAGCATATTTCTTTCACAATGTGTCTATTTTATACTTATATCCCTTAGTATGAATTTATCTTAATTTCAAAATTTTTACTGCAACCTAATCTACTCGACATTGAAAAGAATAACTCTTGTATATATAAACTTACAATTTCCACAACATCAAACACAAGCATATAAATGACTCAATAGTACCACTACATCGTGCAAATTTTACTGCTGCAATATAATACTACCATAAATTATACATCTAATAATTCATTATAAGATTAATTTTCCGCCACCTGTCAAGCGAATTTATACGAAAATGCGCAATTACAGTTCCAAGGTAAATAAATAGTTTAATTGTGTGCAAGAAAATTTACGGCTCCAGGTATAGTAATTCATTATTATTCCCAACATGCATCGATAATCGGAAATACCTACATTCGTCTGGAAATGGATTCTGTCGTGAAATTTAATTTCTCATTCGTTGAGGAAATTACTTCTAATTCAATATTTGAAGCAACGGAAGGTATAGTCCATTTAAATTATTTGCATTTTTTGTAATTACAAATTGAATAAAATAATGCTGATTTTGAGTACTTTATAAGTATTGTAATGTATCATAAGAAATAATATTTTAAAAACTCATTAAACTTGTCGGGTTACATTTAAGTTCTGCTCTATGCGAGAAATGATCCTATATGTCACCATTCTTTTTGTAATTTTAATAAGAACTTTTTCTTCTCTACTTCCAGAGAATACAATTATTCACAACTTTATTACTTCACTTCCATTTATTTTCTTTCTCCATCGACTAATTGCAATTATTTTTGCACAGAACTCATGTCAAGCAGATACATTTGAATATTTATTGTCTCCGACTTTATAAAACTGGAAACAAGTTGTGGTCTGAAGAATACAATTCAGTTATGTCGCTAGTTTTATATTTTATTAAAAAAGTTCTATGCATTTGAAATGATTTTATAATTCTTGAATTTCTGATTCATGCATTTGCAATCTCGTTTTGTTGATCGAGTTTGCGGTAAGTTTGACAAATAATGCATAAATGGGCAGTGTTAGGTGGTAAAGGAAAACTAAATTATTTATAACATTTAGATAATCATTCATACCAAGATTCGATATTGTATATTATATTGTTTGTACTATGATACAATAATTTCAATATTAAAAGCTTATATAGAGATATCGAATAAAATATTCAAATATTTAAACCAAAAGTCATCAGAGATCAATATCAATTGTATTAAAGTGTCTATTAATTAGCTTTAATTAATTTTATGATTTGTAAAAAACAATCCATTACCAATTTCGTCTCGAGATTTCAAAATGTTCTCATCCTCAAAATATTTATTTACGTTAAACATTTCCGACCTTAAAAATTACCATACCGATAAATGTATAATGCCCCTTTAGGATTATTAAAAGATTTTCGGTGGAGGCAAAATGCAAATTCATGATTAAAACATTGATTACATTGAATGAATAATCTTCACTTATTTGCGAGGACTTTGAGCAAGCTTTTTCGGTTATATTGTTTACTTTGCAAAGAAACGGTTTTGCATTTAATTCTTCGTTTATAGTTGGTGTCTTCAGAGATTTGCTTTTGCTGATCGGTTATAATTGATAAAATCTTCTCATTTCATCTTTATATAATATTTTCAATCATAAAATGTGGATTTCTGGATAATGGAATAAAAATATTTTTTTAAATATGTTAATAAAAACTTTCATAAAATAATTTGCTCTTAAAAATATGCCCTATTTTTTAAAAAAAAAAAAAATATAACTGTATAATGAAATACAAATATTTTCGAAATTTAATTAATAAAAGCTTTTGGATAACATGTACACTAAAGTGTTGATAAATATGATATATTGTGATGGAATTTACAATAATGATTATTATAATTGCATATATTAATAATTACTATAATTATAGACACAATGTGATGGAATTTGCAATAATTCATATTTGGAGAATGATGAGTGATAAATTAATTATATAATTATTAAATAGTTATTGCGTTTGTTTCTAGCAGATGTCTGTATGGTGATATTTCGTAATACAAGTTAAAAAAACATCATTTATTTCAATTTTTCTACAATGTACATAATGATATAAGAACAAAAGCTAACTTTCAACACCCTTCTATATTGTCGAAGTATATTGAAATTTTCTAACAAGGAGAACATCAAGTTTACTTGTCTGTGATTTTGATAAAAGTTTGCATGGTGATACAGTTGATAGTCAAAATGAACACCATAAAATATTAAAGAACTATGAGAAGTGGTTTGATTATTAAAATTAATTAACATTTTGAACAAAAGCCGCGAATGTTTACAACCCAGTGAAGTCCAATTAGGTGCTAGATTTTTAATTTTCACGTTAGGTTCTATTAATCCTTGCAGCATTTTGTCAATATTCAAACAAATGTTAGAGGGACCTAAATATATTCCAAATTAGCTAATTTACTAAGAGACAAATATGTATGTAGTGACTGAGAAAATCAAAAGATTTGCAACAAAATACAAAGAAAGACAACAAAAAAGACTTCAGCTTTGACGAATTAAAAAAGCATTTTTTCAGACTTAGTAAGTTCGTAAGCAATTCAGGTTTTTTAACTAATATTGTATATAGTTTTATCCTCAAACAAATATTAGAGAGACCTAAAAATATTCCAAATTAGCTAATTTATCAAGAGCAAATATGTATACAGCGGCAGAGAAAATCAGAAGATTTATATTAAAATACAAAGAAGGCCTAGAAAAAAGAATTAACAGCTTTAATGAGTTAGAAGAACATTTTTCTCTAGACTTGTTAGCTCATAAGCATATAAGGTTTTACTTTGTTGAATTTAGTCTTATCCATTATCAATCTCAAATCTAATATGTTCTACTTTAGTGACATTTTAACGCTCTATAACAATTAATTAATTGATTCTGAATAGTACTGTAATTGAGGTACTGTTTTTATTGTATCTTCAAATAGTATTTGTTATTTTAATCATATTTGAGATATTTAGCAAAAAAATCTTCCCCCCTTCGTCCGGAGTTAGTGTAACTAAAAATTGCCATCTCGGTTTTGACTTAAACAAATATGGTAACCTTAATAATGAACACTAAAATTAGTAAATACCTTCGTAGATTGTGATTTTATAAAAAAAAAATTAATTTGTTGATGCTGGGATCCATTTATAATCCATAAGACAGTGTTGGTCCCGTTTATCAGTTAGATAATTCCACTATTTCTATACATGATGACAGTCAATTATTCACTTGATAATATAGATGGAATAATGCGTGCCGGGGCTTCGATTTGTGTGTATGTGCATATTCAAAACCCGATTATTTATGCCCCAATTCACTGACTGAGCGAACAAAGCGTAATAACAAATCCATAGGCGGCGCTGTGCCGCAACATTGATTCGCACGCTGGATTCTGCTCCGGGACGAATCCGGGGAGATGTTGCCGGAGAGATTATTATTATTATTGCGTGGCCCCATCTCACGATCTTGTGAGGAAGAGTGAGGCAAGTGGAAGGGCTGGCGGAAATGTTCTTAATTGTTTTATTTACTGAAAATTTATAATGGAGAGCTTTAAAACGACTATTTTATTTAATGTTCGTATGTTACATTAATAACTGATAAATATATACGTGATAGAATCGCCACATGTAGAATGTTTAACCAAAGGAATGCCTCTTATGAAAAATTAGGTTTAGTCTTAAGCTTATAATTCTGAATAGTTGTTGAAGTAAAAGCAGTTGAAAAAAATAATTCAAAAGCTTACTGAAGTGGACGTTGTGCTACTACTAAGTATACCATTTAATCACTTTTCCTTAATTTTTTTTACTATGAATAGGCTTGACAAGAACTAAATTATTATTTGTTATTGCTTACTTTTGAATGTATGAACAAATAAATAATTTTTTATTGGTGTAGACACAATTGCATTGAACTGGTTGAAATAGTATAAAATAAAATGGGAAATGCGTTAGATTTCAGTTGTTAAGTTTATGTATAGCGTACTTAATCAATTTAACAACAAATTTCTGGCGGCTCGTCTCTAATTAAGATTTTATTAAAACCACAGTTTTTAAATTCATTCTAAGTTACTTTGTATTGATGGAAAGCAAAAATATTATGCTAAGTTCATTAAAAAGTAACAACTTATTATACATGATATTTAGTGAATATAACAAATATTAGTAAGTACTCGATGTGTACATGCATATTGCATAATGAACTTGATTATAGTATATGCAAATGCATATTAAACTTAATTTAACAAAAAATTAGGCTTGTGGATATATGGTATATCTTTTCTGCATAAGTTTTCAACATAATCAAAACCTGTAATTGTAAATAAAAAATCTGACGTTGTGTGAAAAGACGTTATCTGAAAGTGTATTCCGTTATAACAAATACTATTTTAACAATACGTTCTCGAAATAGCGTAATAAAATTGTATAAAGTAGAATCAATCAATTGAGCACTTCTTAATATTTTACATCGATAAGAATTTATATAATCTAGCAAAAAAAAATGTAAAATCATCTATTAAAAATTACTTATACAGAAACGTTTAAACATTGTGATTCCGCGGTTTTTTATGCGAAAATCTATAAAATAATAATTTATTTTCTTTTTATATATTAATTATTTTATATATTCTTATGGTTCCTGATAATATTTCTTAAATTTTTAATGAACGTATCTATTTGAAGAATAAAATAAATCAATCTGATGGTCAAGCAATTTTTCTATATAAAATTTATAACAATACGTAATTTACATCTGCTTTTTAGCTAGCCGTAATCGTAAAATTATTAATACTGATAATAAATATCTCAATTTTTATCAAAAATGAAAAAAAAACTATGTGTTGAAAACTATGAAAAAATATCACATCACAATAATTGTAATACAAAAATAAAATCGTTATACGTTGCAGTAAATAACATCAGCAATATTTTGTTTTCCGCGTTTCCATACGTCGTTTGAAAATGTATTTTATGAAAATATATAAAGAAAATCAAGTTAAAATAAGAGGAAATATCGAAGAGTATTCACAAAGGATACGTATATCATTTTTCAGCACGGCTTGCGATTTTAATTAATAAAATATACAACGTAGCAAAATAACATAAAAATACTCATATCCACAGATATTTATGAAAAAATGTCTAATTAAAATGAAATCTCTAAAATATCAGTTACATATAAACAGGTATTATCAGCTTTGGCGTTAAAAATTTTATTTTATTCAAAATATTAGCTGGTTAAAATATACAATAAAATTCATGTAAGTTCTATAAGACCATAATATATATCGCAAAAAAAAGTTCCATAAAAATCGGCTTAATTTTTTTCAACAGTTAATTACAAGGAAACGGCTCGGTAGATTTTCACCTAAAACTAATCATTATCATTCCCAATTAATATCTTTGGAACAGTTTTCGATTTTTTAAATCGATTCAGTAGTATGAGCTTAAATGTGGACGAAAAGTTTAACTCTTTTTTCCAAATTACAGAGATTTTAAAAATTAAACGACTTGTCGTAGGGCCGTCATATTTTAGTATGATCTATAAGACTATAGTATTTACCATGAAAACAAATCATGAAAATTGTCAAAAAAAATTGATAAATATAAATATAATTCATATACTCAGCAATAAATAAAAGAGGAAAGTAAATATTTAAATGAAGCCGAGCTTAATATTCTGTTGTTAAACAAATCATTGTTAAAAATTATACATCTTGAAACAAGAAGTGAATAAGATTTCGTGAAAAATCTAGAACAGCGGTCGGAGAATGTTTTATCCGAAATATTTTTGTCTAAGTTTATATTACCCCATGGTGAAGAGAGATTACCATAGGGAAAACTATGTAGCAAATACAGTAAATAGCAATTGAAAATATATGTTTTTTACACCTAAAAATTGTATTTTCACCCCCATTTACCCCGGTTTCTCGACCGCTAATCTTGAAAAAGTATCATTCAGTTATAATCAGTTTTGGCATCAACTGTTTCCCTGGAAATATTAGCTGGTTATTATATCTTGCGCTCTGCGGTTGCATATGGCGTTTGAAAATATATTTGAAGCGTACATAAAGAAAAAAAAAACAATTTTAAATAAAATAAAACTCGAAATATTGTTCACAGGCGCCACGTCTAGCATTCGCAAGCATGGCTTGCGGGTTCCCGTGATAGAGAGTTCACAAAGCCATAATAATAATCGTAAAGTACGTGTCACTACGTGCTGCGCTCTGTAAAAGCTTACGGGGTATTTATTCGCCAGTACCGAAATATTGGAAATTCGCAGAAATGCATCCGTGGATATTAGAATCGATTGAATTCCGGAATCCGAGAATGGTATATTGTTATACTGAGATAGAGAAAAGTAGTTACAATGTAGGAAGTTGAAGCTGTGGTATAGCAACCGTGCGAACAAACATTTGGTAGTAGTCATTTAATAATATTCGAATAAATGTATTAAATTTGTATGTATAATTACCTATTTACATTTTTATGTATGATTACTATTTATTTTTACAATCTACTTATTAAGTGCAATATACGAAAATAGCAAAATTGTGAGGCGAACTATTTGCACCGGTAATAAATTGTTTAGAAAATTTTCAGAATATAGTCATGAAATAAAATCAAATACAAATATAACTAGTGGTGAAATATTAGAGTAATATTAAATGTTTTCAAATAAATTAGATTAATATAAATACTGTAACATTGTCTAATATTAGGTTGTCAAATATCTCCCTTCCGCTTTTTTGCTCTTGGTTTATAACACAAAAAGGCGGAAGGGAGATATTTGACAACCTAATATTTATAAGATTCATATAAACTGAATTGCAAAGTTAAAATTCTCACTTTTGGAATTTCTCAAATGACGAGTTTGAATTTCTATTCAAAACCTTGGTTTGAAATTGGTTGGTTTGAATTTCTAAACAAAAAATTTACTTGACAATCATCATCTGTACTATTTTATTTCACTCTCCAAATAGATCCATAACAATTCGATACTGCTGGGGTAAAATAGAACCAGCCAACGATATCAAGTGTTATACAGTTTTTATAAGATTCCAACAAAAAAAAAACATTATTCGCCATGCTTGCCGGCAATAAGAACCATATGCGATTGTTTACTGCGTGGTTTTCGTTAGCCGAATACATCCTGATACATCTCCCGAGATACGTGCTTATTTCATTTCATGTTTTGGGAACACGAGGAATGGATTTCTGCCAATGGGTTTTGACGTAGTACGACACCTAGTACGAAGTAATATATGGGATAATATGAGAGTTGGCGAGTATTTTACTTTTTCGTTTTAATCAATAAGCTTAAAACACAATAATTGAAGAGCTATATAAAATATCACTCTGCAAAAAAACAATTTCCCGCTATATTCCTTGCAATTTAGAGCAAACATCATTCCATACTCGTGGAAATTGTTTTTTTTACGCAACATTCTTAAAAACATTTTTTACGATTCTTCTCTACGACACTTACAACATATAGTAGATTTTGCACATAAAAATTATGATAAAAAATCTTTATTAATAACAATATATATGACGAGAAAAAAGTTACAGAAATCTCATGCATCTTGAAATTCTCCTCTTTTCTGGCTAAATAATATAATTTAATATCAGCATATAACTTATTGTTTTTATTCTACTTTATTGTTTTTCTAGTATTATTTTTATTATTCAGAAATTTTATTTATTTTACTTATTAATTTTATTATTATTATTATTTGCTTTTATTTTATATTAAATCAACATACTACGGATATCATTTTATTGAAAATTCTAACCGATATTTAGTACGGTTTTTATTTAAATTTATGTCATTGTTCATTATTGTTACTAAATGTTAATTATTTATCAGTTATAGCAAACATAGTAGCTAAAAAAAACAGCATATATATAATTTTAAAATTATAATTTTAAATATTAATTTAATACTCATAATTTCGTATCAGCAAAAGTAGGATTGCTTAATCCAAGTATACAAATGCTTTTCATAACTAATTCACTTTCGTTTGAAATGATTCAATACTATTATAGACTTTCTTTATTGGTGTAAAAATCTATTCTAATAGATTTTCCATTTTAATGTCAAATTCTATGACTTAGCGTTTTCACAGGATAGGATCTGTGGTTAAGGATTAAGATTAAAAAAATTGATTACACGTAAAATCAATGTACGGCACAAAAACATTTGAATTGATTTATTAAAACATTAAATGATATTGTGATATATCTAAGTATTTATTTTTTCACTCGTTGTTTTTTGTTATGACACTATCAAGTATCTTACCATTTTATAATACTGTAAATCTGGGAATTTATCTCAAAGACGGATTTTTAAAAGCGCATTAAGTTTCAAAATAATAAATTCACAGTTCAAAAAATATTTTTAATATCATTAACATAAATTCTTAATAATAAATTTAGAATTCAAGGAAATTTTTGGGGCAGTGGAAAATTGTGCCCTTATTTTTGACTGTGGTCCTAGAAATGTTATTTACGGTTACGATTCAAAAGTTTAAATGGTCAAACATTAAAAAAATTAACTGCAATAAGCTAAAAATGTATAATAAGCTGAAAATGATGTTTTATTAAAGCTTTAGATAGCATTTAAAGGCTCTTAATTTTTCAAATTGTTTTTTGTATATTTTTTTTCCATGACAGTTACTATTAATACTATCACCCCGTTTCGACTTCACTTTGAATTCTAGGACAGTCTGTATATCTAATTGAATGAATTTCTACATACGTTTTATTACTAGTATTGTTTATGTTTCGCACAAGATTTATTTCTGATAATATATTTTTACTTTTTATGCATCGACACTATAAACACGTACCAAACTCGTGGTTTTGTGTCAAGTATAAATTTTTCAAAAAATGAATGCATTTTCTAAAATAATTGAAAAAATATGACAAGAATGTACTATATAACACCAGCAATAATTTTCATTTAGTCATACTTTGAATACATAATTGTAAGTGTCATTTACGACAATGTGACAAGAAATGGAACTGGTGCAAAATCGTCTTCAGCAGAATATTCATCGGCTCGTAGTCTTGAAGGGTTATGATATGAAAACGAGGGTGTATGTGTGTTATTATTGTGCAGTACAATGGCGGGGGATGATTCAATTACAACAAGTCGAGTGTTCGCGGCTCTCAGAGTTTCTCTCTTCGTGGGGGGCGGTGGAGCAAAGCTTTGGGGGTTGAAACCGGTCGCTGGCTTTTGTAGATTTATGTCGACGGCCGATGCGACGTTCCGATGCAGGAAATGAAGTACGGGTCACGATGATAAAAGGTGTACAGTGGCTGCAATACGTATAATATATAGAATAATATATAGAATATACCTATCCCTGCGACTGCGTCATTTCTAACGGGTATATATGTAAATGTCTGTTTCTAAAGTACCGCAGCATTCGTATGCAAATGTGTTTACGAGATGCCGAATTGCTTGTGTGCTCTGTTTTGGTATGGATAGGAAATGCTATAGCTGACATGATGTTGTTTTCTTAATATATTCACGAGTTGCATAATGGAGTATAAATAAGGAGGCGGAAGAAAAATCGTTTGGTAATAGTATATGTGCTACTATCTTTAGTACCAATAAATACATAATTGTAATTTTTAAAATCAAAAGCACACTTCAAAGTATAAAATTTGGTATTAGCTAACAATTAGTATTTACTTATTTCTTATAATAGATCCAAAGCCTTGATCGAACCCTATACTATGACTTATGACCTTATGCACCAATACAAAAAGTATAAAAAGCACTATTGAGATCGTTCCTTTGCAAACGTATGTCTTTAAAAAACATAGACAGTTTGTTTTTCATCAATTTATCTTAGATTTTAAAATTAATTATATATTCCTAAATTTCAATATCCCGATTCGAAATTACTGTAGTTATTATTTGGTAATAAAAGAAAAAAGTAAAAAATACTATAAAAATTTACCAGGTCACCCACACAAATATTTAGGCGAGTTGAGTGAGAAACTTTCTACTCGAAGATATAAAAAATTGCCTTACGATTTTAAATAAATCGTCAATTTTACACTAATATAAAAAAGATGTCTCATTGAAGATAAACTCTTTAAAGGCATAAAAACCAGCATATTGTCTTCAAAAATAGTGTTTATATTGATCGACAATACGCAAAAAAATTATTGGTATTACTTCATTATAAATTTTTATTAGATCAGAACTATCAGGTTTATTATTAGATTGATTAATTCATAGCAAATTGATTGAATTGAACTATCAAGTTATGATTTTAATCCCCTTACGCGTCCCATCGCGTAATATTGATGTATTATAATATGTTTAATGTTATTTTTTAAAAATTAAGAATACTTTCCATTATTTATAGGCCAATGATATCTAACAAAATTATTACCATATCGCATTATTACCATGTATGTTGATTTCAGAGCCAGCTGAATAACTGGCAAATAAAAATGTTAGAATAAAAATATTATTATGAGGAATGTATAATGTATTCCATATGCTCGCCGCATAAATTACCTTCCAAATAATTCATTCCTATGTAAATATATATAAATGCATATATTTCATGCTTTAAGCATGAACTGAAAAATTGCGATGATCAAGGCGAACGAAAAATGCATTTTGGCCTCGGTTTTTAAAAGACAAAGTAAAATCTTGGAAAATCTCATCTTTAAAACTCTCATAATATATTACGACATCATGACAAAAAAAATTAAAAATGTTTTAGAAAAAACGAGTTAAGAATTTCAATATTTAAATCCTATATAATTTTGGATTTTGTCTGATGCAATTTGAAACTCTCCTTTTTCCAGAAGCGATTCCGCTGAATAAAATACTTTTAACTTCATTTCAATAGAAGTGAAATTACTTTTTCAATCTAAATAGATCGTTCGCAAGATTTTGCATTTTAAGATTATATTTTATTAGGATTCAATTCTATTATATATCTAATATATTGTTAGTAGAGATAATTCACTTTAATATTCAATTATAATTTCTTACGAAATTTTAAAAGTAAGAAAGTATTCGAAAAGCTAATTTTATAATAATTGATTTTGTACACTTATTTTAGAATTTCATTAATATAATGAATATTAGCTAAATTATAAAAAATTGAAATCATTTCAAATAATAATTAAATAATTTTGTAATAAAAAACACGTGCTAAACATTATATCATCCCGCACCGGATTTCCTTTACCTAACTAAGTAAAATTTTCCCAGTTTTCTTTTACATCTATTAATTTCTCCTGCGAAATAATTCATTCCTTATTCCCAATATACAGAACTTCGTTTCAATAAAATAAATATTTGCACAAGTCGGCTAATGGAGTTTTCGTAAAAATACAGATTTTATAATACGAGCAAATATTTACTCCGATCGATTAATCGTAGGAAAACTGCCATGAGGAATGGCTTACATTTGAGGAATATTTTAGAAGATATTAATATATATATATATATATATATATATATAAGATATAAGATGCTTTTCTTACTAAGCACTAATTTAGCTATAAAATTAGCTCCTAAAAATAAGTAAAGTTTTTAATTTGAATATATATGATGGTATAATGAGAATAATATTTGAGAAACGACTTGTATCATTTACAGTCAAAAAATGTTCATTCTTAGCAATATTATAATTTATAGTTATTATTTGTTATTCGTTATTAGTCATAATGAATTTCGAAAGTTTCGATAAAAATATATAGAGATCTCTATCAACAATTTTCTCATCTTTATAGATGACGATACGTGAATACTTAAGTTTTCAGTATATGTATTACAATAATAGTACATATTAAAATTGTGTTAAAATAGGTTTTCCCATTAATTATGAAGTTTTTTATGCCTATTATTTTTATATGCCTATTATGCCTATTATTTTTATAATCTGATTTGTTGGAAGATATGTAGAATATACTGATTGAAAATTAAATAAAAGTTGCTGTGGATTTCAAACAACATCAAATTTCTTTTTAAGCTTAAGTATAAAATTTTAGAACATATTTTACTCAAATATTTTATTTATCATCAAAAACATTGAGGCATCGTATCCCGAAAATTCTGTATTGAATTCCAGAATCCTTTATATTTTACTAATATAAATCTACCAAAGTTACAAAAGGATTGGTAAACAAAATAATATCTTATTAAATTAAATTTCACGTTTAATAAAATGATGTGCAAATAGAGCAATTAATTTTAATTTTAACATCTAAGTCCTGAGATCAACAAATTATATTCGCTCCACCAGACGCCGCCGCCTAAACTTTATCCTGGGATGTAAAACTTCACCGACGCGGTGACAGTTGATAAAACTTTGTTCAAAATTAAATGTATTTTTGACTCGCATTGCTTTCAGCAAAGTAACGCACGTAATAGTTGGCCAGATAGGGAAGTTTTTCGAAGCGATTTAAAATACTCAAGTTATCTTCATTCGGAAATAGGAAGTACTGAGTGCGAGCAAAAGAGTTCACATTTCTATTTCTATTGATCTTGAGAAGATTTTATCGAGTGCTACAATTTTAGTTTGGATTGCTGAATCAATAGTGTAGGTAGAAAAGTTTAAGAATAGCAAATGTTATTTTATTCTCGTTGTTATTAAAGTTTTCTGGTTTATAAATTACTTTTTCCGTAATGAATAGAAGTGAAACATCTGAATATTGCAGACTGTACTTCCTTGACTAGGAAATACGTAACTATAAAAAGATATATTTTAAAATGTTTGAATTCTATAGCTTCAAGATTTTAGTTATGCAAATCTCTTGTTGTATAATATTTTAATATAAATATATATTAAAAATCTATATTTTGGCAATCGCACATACACTAGTATTTTAATAATTGAAATCCAGAAATATATGTTGATTTGTCACTTTTTTTTCAATTTATTCATAGTGTAAACTTTAAAAAGTGTTCTGTTTTTCGAAGTTTCATTAATACTCAGCTTCCAATACTTAGAGTAAGAATTTTAGTATTCATAGTTATAATGAAATATATTAATGAATGTGTTCACGAAAGTAACCTCGCAATCGAAATTTTTATATAATTTACAAATACCTAACTGGATATATTATCTTTACCAATTAATGACTCAAGTCGTTACATGCTGCTTCTGATCATTACTATTTTTATCGAATTTGTTATATTCCAACATAAAGAGAATATGAGATAGGCGAGTGCAAACAAATGCTAAATCTAGAAAAACCTATCAAATGCCCATTAACTGTCTTTTTCTTGACAGACAAAGTGATCAATAACTGTGCAGATTGATTATTTATTGGTATTTTCACATCGATATAATATATCTGGTAACACAAAGATATTTTTCATCTATTGCGAACTCAACTAATGAAAGTAAATGGATAGTACTCAATATTTTAGTATTAGAAATAAATTTGGTATCAAAATAAACATTATATGATTAAACTATGTGTTAGTCTTTATGGCTTTGAGGAGTTTATCTGCAATGTGATCCTTCCTTTTTTCAGTTCAATCGAATGACTATTTTTAACTTCCCATAGGGTAAGTTATAGTAATGGCAAAAAAAAATCGAAAATGAAATTTTTTATATATCTTTACGTTTCAGAGATTTCTGAATATTTTAGCATACCTTAAAAAAATGGATGTATGTGTGTGTGTGCGTGTGTGTATGTGTGTTCGGATACAAATTTTTGTCGACGATTTTGGGAACACGGATAGAGCGATTTGAATAATTCAAAAAACATTCGACTCGTATCGATAAGGAGACGTGCTGATTAGTTTTTGGCGAAGGTAGGTCTAGCCGTACCGAAGATATGGGGTAAAAAATGCCAGAAACGGTACTCAGGTTTTAAGAGAATGGAGCGTCCGATTTGAATAATTCAAAAAACATTTTACTTGTAATAACAAGATGAAGAACTGATCAAATTTTGATGAAGGCAGGTCTAGCGGTTTTGGAGATCTAGTAAAAAAAAAGTAAAAAAATGCCACCTGGCGGTCAAAAATGATCATTAGGCATATGCACATCAAATTATCAGATATTTTATAGTGATTTTAACAATAAGTATAAATTTTGTTTACATTCCTATGGGTTCCGCACCAATGCTTATCTGTTAGACTGCGGCTCGGCGCTTACGCGCTTCGATATTTTGTCCCTATGCAGTTAAAGCAGTATGATTGCTTTGAAAAAAAGTTCAGAATTTTCAAAATATTTCAAAATACACTTTTTTTCAAAAGTCTTTTTTTCAAAAAAAGTAAATTTTTGTCAAAAATTTATATTTTCTCAAAAATCTAATTTTTCAGAGTAAATTTTTTCCAAAAATGTTAATCTTTTTAAAAAAAAGAAGTTTTGGTACGGGAAGTTCCAGCAATTTGCCTTAAGGCACGATGCCATGCGCCCCACTTATTTTTTGCATTCGTGTCGGCAATTTTTGGTTTAGTTCATTTAAATATTGATTTGGATGACATAGTAGTTTATCATAATATTTTTGACTTCTTTTTTTATTAATTCATGAATCGCTCTCATTTCAATATTCAATCTCATATGACCAAATTGAGATTATTATTGGTTTAGGTTTTATATTATAGTAATTCGTTTTCATAACAGATTTTTTTATTTCCTGGCAAATAACCAACTTCTTTTAATCTTGATATGTTTGGACTAGTTTAACAAGGAAATTTGTGATTTTCGATACTTAATCAACCAACACCAAAGAATATTACTAAATTTTATCAAGTTTTTAAATATTCATGATAATTTTTATAATCTCATATCTTTAAATAAAACAATGTTTTGTTCCAGATGCGCGTCAACGAACTGCCCGGGCTCGCACGCGCTCTGCTCGGCATCAGCACGGGCAGCGCAACGAGCGCCGGCATAAAAAACTCACCGAGCCGAGTGTCGAACGCGCTGCCTTGGTCAACGGAAGCATCGCGCCGGTTGGGGGTGCTGACCGCCAGCACCGCCGTACTGCTACTGGCACGACTGCAAGTTATGGGCTCTCAGCTACCCGTCTTCACCAAGTAAGTGTTAATAAATTTATAATTATATGGCGTTTATAGAACTATTTATGAGGGTGCGAAATCGAATTCAATTCCATATTTAGTGGAAAGTGATGAAATATTGATTTGTTATGTGTGAAGTTTTTTGATGTTTCGTATGTAAAAGTAGACAAATGATGAAACATTTTTGGTTATTATGTCTTAGGGTTGCTATAGATATTCTATAATATAATATATGTTTTTTTTTATATATATATTTTTAACAGCAATCAGAACCTTTCGTCCTATGAGTGGTTGAGCTGAAACTTCTCTTTGCTTCGTATTTTTAGATGGTAACCCAATGGTGAATCCATCCATATTTGATGATTTTTGTTATTAGAAATAATCTAATGAGGCTGACTTTTTATTGGTGCAGCAATGCCGGGCAAGGGCTATTTTCACTTGGAAACATATTGCTATCTATATTTCCAAGTGAAAATCGTTGTCATTGCTGCCTGACAATAGGCTGCTCGAAGTGGGTATCGAACCCGGAACCTCTCATTCAGGTCCCGTCGCTCTTAACCGCTTACCTACGGGCGAGCGCATAATATATGTAGATGCAAATTTTATTGCCAAATATTTCACATGAACAAATTTTATAAATATTAAACACAACTACTGTTTTGTATCTCTCTACTTTCTTTTTGTATATGGAACAAATTAAATAAAAATACGCTTGCGAGAATATGAACTTTACTGATGTAAGAACAAAATATGGATAGCTAGTAATAACTACCCATTGAATAATCGTTATAGAGATGATAAATCTACAGGGGGCACTTTGTATCATCGTATCATCTTCCAACTCTAGACCAAAGATGGTGATTTAAGCGATATAATTTTTGAAAAAATAGCTTTTTAACCAAAATAAATTACAATTAAAATAAAACAGTTAATAATAATAATGATTAATGTTCGAGGAATATTAAATGTTTTCAAATAGATTACTATAAATACTATAACATTGTCTAAAATTTATAAGAATTATATGAACAGAATCACATGGTCAAAAAATATTCATTTAAAGTATATAAGTGAGCTTTAAAACTTTAGCCAAAATTAAAATTGAAATCTGAATTATTTTTGATGTACAAAAAAAATCGAACGCTTATTTCTCTCAAAAACTGCCATTTTTAGTATTTTTAGCTCTGTATTTTTCAAATGGCTAGGCCTGCCTCTGCCAAAAATTAATAACCACTTCTCCCAATCATTACTAATTGAATGTTTTTTTGATCATTCAAATCGGATGCTCCGTTCTCTCAAAAACACGATTTCTATTTCCTGCTTTTTTTGCTCTTTATCTCCGTAACGGCGGGACCTGCCTTTGCCAAAAACTAATCAGCACATTTCCCTGTGAATAGGAATCGAATGTTTTTTGAATAATTCAAATCGGTTGATCCGTGTGCCCGAAAACGTGAACACACACACACACATTCATTTTTTCTGAGGTATGCCAAAATGTTCAGAGACCTTTAAAACATCGAAAAATGCAAAAGTTTTCTTTTACGATTTTCGGCTCTTTACTTAATTACCATACGGGAAGTTAATAATATTTTCGGAAACCACTTTAAATTGCACACTATTATTGAATTATATTGAAATTTATGTTTTTTTTAATTAATTTACATAAATATAAATTTTCTTAAATAAATAAGAAAACGTAGAAATATAGAGCAATTCTCTTTGAAAAATGACCACTCCCTTCACAACGAGAAAAGCGACTGCGCGACATACATATCGTCCTATTTAAAATAATGGACTAAAATATATTTTTTAGAGAATCTAAATATCATACTAAAATCAGGGAATATTGGTTTGAACTAGTTTTTCGCAAAATATCCAAATAAGGTTCTTTAAATTTGGTATTCACAAAGATAATAATCATTTTTATGATAAAAATCAGCTGGGAAAAATAAATGTAGTGTATATCTGCGTAAACTTCAATACTTTAAAATGATGATTTTTTGCGGATGTAACATATTAGTAAACTTTTTTGCATATAAACGTGGCATGAATTTAAATCAAAATAATTAACTAAAACTACGTAATACGATTTTATATCATTAACAATAACTGCAATAAATTTATATAATTTTTCAAACCTCAAATTAGAATTAAATAGGCTTGTTCTACACTTAATTTTGTATGCATTGCAAATAATAGAAATTTTTGCATAGTACTTATATTAAGTAATTCTTCATGTTAATTGTGAAATTTATCACTAAAATGCTAACGCTATTTGGTCAACTTTGTATGGGTCTATTAGTAGTAAATTACCATTTAGACTTATGAATCAAAATTTATATTTAAGGTAGCATTTTCAATTGAATCACATTTAACAATATTTTTCTTACTGAATGTTTTGTTTTTGTGAAGAAAATATCAAATCCTTGTCTACCAAAACAACATATCATTTCCATGTATTTCAAACGCAAATCCTTATATTTTTCACATAATAACATTTGCATAATATATTTTCATTTCCGAGAAATCGGGTCAACGGGAGTCCATAAACGTCATACGAAATGGAACGACACGAGTATAATGTTTCAGTCGTCCGATAAATATATTTTTCAATATATTATACTATTGCATTTTATCTGTGATTCCTTTTCCGAAGGTTTTCTCCATTTTTCCATCTCGTCTCTTTGTTTTATTCCAATATCGGATTGCGTTTCGAGTATTTTCATACAAAGCTTTGATGCATTATTTTTCTAGAGAAGCCGTTTCTATTCTGGGCAAAAGTCTCATATGTCTTTTAAATTCAAAGTTTCGTATATCAATGCGATCTTATTATTTTATTATAAAACTAGATATTGGTAATACTAGCTGATGAGAGTATATAGAAACAGATTTTTGCAGATTCTGTAATGTAACTTTGTGATTTTATTTAAAACTTTATAAATAGATTTTTTTATCTATCATACAGATGTATTAGAGGGTAATTAAATGAAGATCTACGATTATTTTGTTAAACTACAATATGAAAAGCAATATGTAATATTTCTGAAGCAAAATATTGGGTCATTCAGTTCAATTAATATTGGAATAACACTTTGGCGATACCCTAAAATATTTGATAATAAATAAAATTCAGTGTTTCAGGTAGTTCTATTTTCTTAGTTTGAGACAGTATTTTTAAATGCGTATTTTTGTGAATTCAGAACACAATAATATAAAAAGCCTTACTATCAATATTTGAGCAAAAAAAATTTTTAGCAATTGATGGATAACTTATTATTCTTGAGAAAATCTCTTGATCTATTAGCAAATCCACGGCTAAATTATTACACTTTTTGATAAAGCCTTAAAGCCTTTCAACGCCTTATCAAATAATATGATTACAATTTGCTCTTACCATAAATTATTATTATTTTCATATCCCAATTCGAAATAACGTAGGAAAATCTATTTTCTTTGTGAAAAACAGAGTGAAACTTTAATAACACTTTTCTTTGCTAGAAACATTGCCAAGTAGCATTTGTGCCTCACTTAATTTCTTTTTCTTTTGATTTTCTGACGCACGACATCACATCATCAGTGGAAAAACAGGGACGAAGTATTACAAATGCAAAAGTTTGATATTTCACAAAAGCAAAATTGAAAGCCTACATAGAATTAATCAAAACAATTTTACAATTATTTCATTATGTCTAGGAAAATAAGTATACCGCAATAAAAAATAATAAAAGAATTAATATACATATATTTTTGAGCTAGGTAGTTTTAAATTGTTATGTTCATTTGAGGCATTTTTAAATTTATTTTCTGACGAATAAAATTTGCACTATTTGGATATGTGATATATGTAGCTTCTACCACAACAAGCATAAAAAATTAAAATAGATAAAATATTTTTAGTTGTTCTGAATAAAATAATCTAAATTAATTTTTCTATAATTATAATATGAGAGAGATTACACTATCATTTTTTCTAAAGGTAAATATTAGTAAAGCCAAGAATTGAATTGTCTAATAAATTGCATGCAAACTCTTATTATGATGATTCAATTTATTTTATTTTTCATTTTCTATTTAAATGCATATTAAAACTTTTTAAGATAAAGCTATTCCATAGCGTAAGACTTTTTAAATAATTTTATATGAAAGATTTTTTTACTCCACTAAGGTAATAGTATAAGGTAATACTTAAATTTTTACTTGATTAACTAAAAATGTATAAATTGATGGACAATAAAAATATTATTATTCTGACAAGTAGGATGAAAAATCTACTAACTAAAACACAACAAATTGACTAAGTATTATAATTATTCAAGGTATTGCATATATTCGTTAATAACCATAACTATAGTAATAATAATAATAAAGTTAAGGTAGTATCTTGAAATGGGTTATTTGGATGATGAATTAATTGCATAGAAAATTATAGTGATCAAAACTAAATAAGTTTAAATAAAATAATTATTCTCATTCATTTTAGGGGCCAATTCTCGAATAAAATAGAAATGTTATAGTAATGCTTTGTTACGGGTCTATCTTCGTATGAGTTGGTAGTAACGATTTGTCAAAAACCTATGTATTCGCTGTGAAATCAGGCATTTTACATATAAAATCTAACATCTAAATCTATAAAGTTGCACTTATGATAAAGTTGGTATTTCACTTTTGCACATTTTGTAGGTTAGGTTTTATATGTGAAGTGTATGATCGCTCAGCAAATTCAAAGTTTTTTGACAGTTCATTACTACCAACTCGTAGGAATATAGATCCGTAACATAGTTTTACCATAACATTTCTATTTTATCCGGGCCACTTAAATTACACAACTGTTTATCTTCCTCATACACGTAGGGGGTGCGCTTGCACTTTGCTAAGTATTCATTATTTATAAGTTTTTTTCTTACAAAAATCAATCTCATCGCAATATCCATTAGATCAGGTCCTGATCTAAGCATTTCCCGGTCTATTAAAAGCTAAGTCTTTCATCGGTAATGAATGTGAGCGCTCCAGTCATTTCT